GTCCATTGTTAATAATCCTTATTCCACTGGACCTTGGTTTGGCAGTTGAATTTGATGAAGTCTGACTTCTGGACAGAAAAGAGTCCTGGGAATCCTGACTTGGCTTTCTGGTACAGACAGAAAGTTTTCTAAGCAATCTTATCTTGGAAGAGTGTACCTAAGAGTCTATTCTGTAAAACAGCTATAGTTTAGAGTACCTTTAGAGCATCTAGTATAGTCTTTTCCACAGGGCTCTGAGACTATCCTTTTTGGAGAGACAAAGACTAGCCTATTGCCTAAACTAGGGTTTCCAGGCAAGCTTCAGAGGGAAGCAGAAACCTGTTTGAAAATGAGGCTGAATAGCTGTGGTCAATTTATTATAGTACCAGTAAATTGGAATGAATAAGAGTAAAATGCCCTATTAGCTATTTCATAAAGGTTTGATCAATGCTTTCCATAAAGTAAGAACTTGTTATGGACAGTGAAGGCAGTGACAAATCTCTAGGGGTCTTCCCTTAAAATCTATAATCTCTGAAATTGTTATATTAACTTAACCTAGGGAAGGCTGAGCATCTCTTCTGATTTGACAGTTCTTCCCATGCAACTCTTATAATAGTATTGAGCTGATTAAGAAATATGGAGCGTACCAAACAAACCTAATTATTTCTAGCATCTCTCTAGTGCTAGTACCTACTGTGAGGTTCTGACTTGTGGCCTCCAGCTGTCAATGCCTTCAGACCTGCCTCAGAGCCCGGGTCATACTTTTCTTGGGGTGGCCCCAGCCAAGGGCCAAGCAAGATTGTGGTATAAGGGCCTAAAATTTCACCCAATGCAAAACTCTTCTAATAGGTAATCCTTGCTCTGAACCTCTCTGTTGGGCTTTCAGAGACTTTGTCAGTTTTGCATCATGGTGTGTTGAATTTCCTGCTCAGTCTGGCTTTCAGCCTTTTACTTTCACAGATGTTACTCTATAATAAACCTTTTACACTCCTGTCTCTATCTCAGTGTCTGCTTCTCAGAGAAACCAGCTGACACAGCGGTACCAGGAATGATCCCCAAAATCAAGTGGTAAGTGGAGATTTTGTGACTGGATCCCTCATTGTCTGAATGGCAAAGAAGAGCTCATCCAAGGTGGTATATGGGGCACAATTAGTCCCTGACACAATATAGTAGCCCAATCACTAAAACTTTTCACTGGTAGAGAACACTGGAAAATATTACTAGATAAGGAAGAGTTTATTGACTTTGGGGTATTCTCTTAGGATATAGGATTAAACATCCTAGAAGGGATCCAAGAAGGTGGAGCAAATTTGCTGCTGGGGTGACTCTAGACACCTGGAGAAAGCGATGGCCCATGCTAAAGAAAATTGAAATGCCTAAATTGCCATGAATGACCATGGAGGAAGGAAGTCAAAAGCCCAGGGAAGTGGACATGCTAGAGTGGATGTGAGGCCAGAAAATCTATCAGAAAATTATTTTTCATTGGAGGGCCAAGAGGACACATTATTCCCTAAGAGCATCAGGAATTTGCTAATTGGGGCATCAACATCATCAAGATGTCCAATGCTGGCTTTTTTCTACAGGTCAGGGCTGCCTGTAGGAGAGGCTGTCATGGAACTTGGCTCATTAGGAACAATGAGGATCATGGGGCCCTGAAGCAAGAGAGGCTGAGGCAATACTTGACCCCCAAAGCTATGGGGTCACAATTATTATAGTGACCAGCAGTGTCAGACAGAGCAGCAGCCAAGAGGAAGTTGTGAAGATGGTTCATAGAACATGGTGTTATTAGTAGCAAAATATATGGGCATCCAATGAGGGTGTTGCATAATACATGTAATTAAAAGAAAGAATGGATGAGCAGGAGGCTGAGGGTGGTCACTCCAATAAAAAGTCACATCTTGCACAGTACCTGGATCTCTGCCAGGTTTCAAGCCATTTATTGAGACTTGGCTGGATCTCAGAAAGAAAACACCTTGCAACACCATGCCAAGTGTGTAATGTAATAATTCCTCTGGTCCTTCCCCAAAGAGATCGACTTGTACTTACTTGAAAGGGGATACACTGGGGAAAGGGAGTGCCCACACATCTTGGGAACTACTGGATATAAGGTCAGAGTTAACATGGATACCTGAACATCTGAAGCAACACGACAGCTCTTCTGTTGGAATGGGGGTATATGGAGGTCATACTAATGAGTCTGTCCAGAGTCTGTCTCACAATGGGTCCACTGGGTTTACAAGACCAACCCAGTGGACATTTGCCCAGTCTTCAAGTGGATAATTGGTATTGACATACTTCATAGTTAATGTAACTTCCATATATAGTCCTTGTCTTTGGAGTGAGTGCTATCATAGTAGGGAAGGCTACGAAGTCTTTGAAACTGCCTCTCTTGTCCAAGAGAGTAAATCTAAAACAATATCACATGCTAAGGGGATGATAGAGTTAAATTATATCCATAAGAACATCAAGGATGCAGGAATAACGGTCTGCATCATATCCCCATTCTGCCTCTGCAGAAACCAGATGAATTAGGAGAATGATTGTAGTCTACCACAAGTTCAAACAAGTAGCAGCCCTAATTGCAGTTGTCATGTCAAGCATAGTATCATTGCTAAAGCAGGATAATATGGCCCCAGGTACATGGTATGCAGCCATTAATTTGGAAAATGCTTTCTTTTCTATTCCAATCAAGAAAGACAATTAGAAATAGTTCTTGTCCACGTGAAATAAACAGACATCAGTGTACATTGAAACTTCTGCCCCAGGGCTATGTTAACTCTCCTACTTTCTCTCATAATATAGTACAAAGAGATCTGGATTATCTGGGAATCCTGTAGAATATTATATCGGTCCATTATATCAGTGTCATCACACTGATCAAACAGGTTGAGCAATGACTAGCATGCTGGAGGTTTGCACTTCAGAGAGTGAGAAATGAGCCCTATGAAGAATCAAAGACCTGCCCTTTCATTAAATGTTTTAAGAGCCCAATTTTTGGGGAAGTGCTAGGATATCCCCTTCAAAATTAAACACAAATTGCTGCATCTTACATACTCTACTAGAAAGGGGAAAGCACAGTGGCTAGAAGGCTTCTTTGGGTCCTGTAAGCAACATACTCCACACCTAGGAATATTTATTTTCTCACCCATATACTAAGTGACATAAAAAGCTACCAGCTTTGCAACCTGGCACAGGAAGGATTCTGCAGCAGGTTTGAGCTATGGTGCAAACAGCCTTGGTACTCGGGCTATATTACCTAGCAGATCCTCTGATGTTAGAGATGTCAGTGATGGGAAAAAATGTGGTATGAAACTTATGGAAATCTCAGAGGGAAAATCACAGTTCAGTGCCTGGGTTCTGAATCAAGGTTGCAGGTCTTTTGAAAAACAGCTTTTGTCATGCTGCTGGTAAAGAGGAAGTGCCTGACCATGGAACACTAAGTGATGCAAAATAAAATATGCCTTGTTGGACCCACCATGTCATAAGTTCTGGGAAGCCCAGCTGTAATCCATCATAACATGAAAGTATTACATTTGGGATGAAGCACAAAGACCAAAAAAAATCACTCTACATAAGCAGATAATGCAGACTTTGATATCACTAATCACAGTTGCATCAATACTTCTCCCTCAGCTCATATTGATGACCATCTGGGCAGGGAGTGTGGTTTTCAACAGTAAGCTGAAGAAAGGAAAAAATAGTGAGCTTAGTTTATGGATGAGTTGCTAAGTATGTGAATGAAAGCTGAAATTGGAAAGCAGTTACATTACAGCCTCACCAAGAAATAGACTTGAAGACAGTGAAGAGAAATAGTCTTTCTAATGGTCAGAGCTTTGGGTGGTGCACCTGGTCATCCATTTTGTGTAGAAGGAGAAGCGGCCTGAGGTTAGAATATAAATAGATTTATTTTAGGAAATGGAAATGGTCGGCTGGTCAGAGGTCTGAAAAGAAAGAGATTAGATTTCAGACAAGCAGGTCTGAGAGGGTTAGAGGTATGTGGTTATACATATTGGTGTGCGCAAAAAGTGTAAAGATCTTTTTATCACACGTCAATGTCCACAAGAAAGTATACACTATGGAAAAGTCACTAAAAAAAAAAAAACTCGTAGAAAAAATTATAATAGTTACTTAATGTTAGCCTGTCTTTGTTACTGGCTAACCCACCGGTGGCACAATAGGCACATGAAAAAAATGGCCAGGGTGGCAGAAACAGAGTCCATGCATGGGTTCATCAGTATGAAGCCTACCTACCACAGATGACCTACCTACTTTCTGCCTCATCGGAAAGTTCAACCTCTCATGCTGGGCCTTTGACATGACACCATTTCTTTAGGAGATCGAATAGACACTTGGTGGCAAATACACTACATCGGGACTTTTCCATCCTAGAAGAGGCAGCAGTTCTATCCCAGGGGAATAGATTAATTATTTGGGGTATGCATTTGCATTTTATATCCAATAAGATTCATACAGCACCAGTATCTGGGGTCTTACACAATGCTTGATCCATAGGCATGGAATACAATAAAACATAGCATTCAACCAGGACCCACAACGTAGCAAAAGTGGTGCACGAGGCTTTTGGTCAAACTATCGTAAAGTGTCTGAGATCTCTCTCTTTTTAAGATTTTCACGAAGAAGTGACAACTAAGGACTACATTTTTTTGTGGCCAATTGCAGAGAAATAGTTTTACATTAAAGTAAATTCTGCTAAATCCTAATAACTACCAGGTTTCCAGTGAGCACCTGAATGTACTAGCTGACGCTTCTCTGTAAGAACTACAATTCCCATCGTACATTGCGGCCTTCTCACGCTAAACTACAATTGCGCTTTCGTCATTTCCGTCCGCACGAGCGGTAAATGCTGGACTTTGTAGTTCGTATCGACTTCTTTTTTTTGTCGCCGTCTTGGTAAGGAGAGAGTGCGGCCGGATAGACTTATTTGAATCTAGCACTACGCTATGGTATTTAAAATAAATTAATGGGATAATGTATCAAAGCCAATTCAGCGTCAGCTATTTATGTATTTCACGCTCCGCCTTCTTCCTACTGCCGGTGCCCGGGAAAGGGAAGTGAGGTACTTCCGGTGTAATGGCGGCGCGGTGTGGTTCCAGGTAATTATCGAATTCCGTGGACTCGCGGAAGAGCCAACTGGGGGTGGTGGATTGCCGAATCAGGTGGGAAGTGGAAGAGGCCCAATAGTGGGTGCAGGCGCGCTAATACGCCTGTGAACGGCACTGGGCTGCGCGTGGCTCTCCTTCCGGCACGCGCCGGCCTGCGAGGTTGGGGTGTGAGAGCGCTCAGGCCGGCGAGTCTCAGCCAGTGGGGTATGGGCGGCAGTGAGCTCGCTCTCCGCTTGTGCGGATGGACCTGGCTTCCTAGGGAGGTTCCTGAGGCTATCTCTTTGCAGTTGCCTTTGTTTGCGAAGTCCTGCGCCAACACTGGTTCTCTCGCTATCTTGTGCAGTGTGTTTCGGGTGCAGATTACTTAGAGCTTCTCGAATGGATTGGGTTTGCCAAGGCCCGTTTCCTAGTGCCCGGTTACCAGGGCCAGAGGGATGGGATTAACGAACTGTAGTTGATTAAAAGGAGTGAAAGTACTGTCACTCTTACGCCTTTTTCCGGTGTTATATCCCTGTGACTGCTTTAAAATTCCAGTGGTCCTTTCCTTTTTACTTGTTTGCCCGGTAAATACTATTACCTCCAAATAGTTAAACCTGGGGACACTTCGTCTCTCCTTACATGTCATCCTTTATCCTTCCTTAACTTCCTCCAATAAGATGATAACTCCCAAACTTGGGTCTCCTCCAGTCTCCATCTCTCTACCGAGTCCTACAATACACTTACATATAACGGTAATATGATAGTTAATTTCACTGAGTCCAACTGCATTAACAACTCCATACCTATTTTCACTTAATCCTCACAATTCTTCGAGGTAAGTGGAGAACGGAAGATTTTGAGAAAAGCTATTCTTGATACAAGAGTTAGGTTATTTAAAGTGTGTTAAGAGTTTCCTTTGCATTTTTAGGTGTACACAGACTAGAAATAGCAAATAAACAAGCAAACTTGATCTTCAAAAGATCAGTTAACCTGCCTTCTCTTTATCTGTATTTAGACTCCTCTTGTTATAGATCGCTTGTGAACACAGGAGTTAACATAAATTATCATCCCACGATGGAAAAGGTGGATTTTGAACTGACATCAAAAGTGTGGTTTTGACCAGAAGAAGCATTGCTACAAGCAGTATCTGTAGGAGGAAGAAACCCACTTGTGTTGGTGCTGGGTGATGGACTAGTAATCCAAAGATTTCAATTTTGGTTTAGCACTTATTAGGCCTATCAACTGGGACAAGTTACCTAATGTCTCTAGTCTTAGCTTCCTTTCTGAAAAAAATGTAGATAATAATAATATCTCAGTGGGTTGTTTTGATTATAGAGAAAAATAATGCGTATATGGCACTGTAACTGTGCACAGTGCCTGGTGTACAGTGTTAGCCACTATATTATTGTTGTCACTACTGCGACACAGTTAATGTGTTCTCTCTGTGCCTTAATTCTTGTTTTTTGGTTCTGAATGTTGCCCTTCAGCTTTTAAGTGTCCATGCCACTTTTATGGAGTCTTTATCAACTCATTTGACTGGGGTTCTGAGAGTTTGTCTTGCTCGTACTTTAGATCAAGAATCTTGATCTAATACCCTGGCCTTGTGGTTCCAAAAATGTAATCTTCAGAATCAGCAGCATCAGTGTCTCCTTGTTAGCAATGTAAATTACTGGGCTTCACCCCAGTTCTGTTGAATCAGAAGCGGGGGAATGAGGGACCATCAGTCTTTTTTTTTTAACCAAAACATCCAGGTGATTTTTATGCTGGTTAGTTTGAGAAACACTGCTCTAGCTCATGCCCTAGGGATATGCTATGTATTACTTTCTTTCCTCCACCCCTCTCAAAATCAGATTTGCTGCCCTCCTTGCTCTGAAGTATTTGATCCATGGCCAGGCAATATTTCTCTTATTATTTTGCCACCACATCCTTCCCCACTTTGAAAAGTTTAGCTCCATTACTTTTAGAGTTCTGACACTTCCTAGACTACTTAATTGTCATTTCTGAACTGGCTTTCTTAGCTCTTTCAGCTTTCCCAGCTGCTGAATTTTTAGAGGTTAACTCTCTTCCCTGATGATTAAACATTGGTGAGTGACCTACAGTGGCTTATACATGAGACCATCTGAAAGAGGACACAGTGGCACATTGTGTGTTTGAAATACCCATGTCTTACCTTGAACAATATTTTTTTGTTTATTACCCACTTATATTTAGACTGAATTTTGTGCTACTTGGTACATCCCTAATTTGGTCATGGCTTGTTCATGGCTGGCCTAGAGCTTTCTTTCTAGAAGTGGTTATTCCACTAATGACTTTGAGGGCTCCGTTTTTGAATTTCCCTACTTTGCTATTTAAGTCACAATCCTAGCATGGGAAGATGATGGAACAATAAGACCTCAGGCATATTAGTTTCAGCAAACTCCGAGACTTAATACTTTTTCTCAGTGTACACATTTCCCAAGTGGACATTGTAAAAGACATTTCAGTGCCTACAACAAAATGCAAACTTTCAAAGCATTTTCTTTAAAAATAGTTTATCAGGAGAGGAAGCATTGGTTAAAGTAAATCTTTACTATTTGTAACCACTTGAAAACTTACCCTGTGAATCCTTCCTTGAATTAGTTTATCAGGACACATATATTTCTGTACCTAGTGACAGGAGCCTCTGTAGTTGAATGTAGTACTGTGTGTCTACGGGCTACTTTTTAAATTTCTCTATGGAGGCCGACAACACCTCCATGTTTTCTTTAAACCAGAATATTGTTCACTAAATGGCTCTCTAATTAATCAGAAAGGCCACTTTCAAAGCTGTGCTGTGAGAGATGGTAGAATGTATTCAGCCTGTACACTTAATTAGACAAGCTGAGAAACAGATTCGGGATTGGGGGGAGTGGTATGAATGTATGATCAAGGCATATGGCATACTCAGTAATTAGGCTTGTTTTTGTAATTTGAAAGAACTGCACCTTTAGGGTCAGGTTTCCTTTTGTAGTGCCTGCAAAAGAACTGTTGTTTTGTTTTCCATGTTACTCAGTGAGAAGTTTATTCAAGCTACTTTCTAGGTTAACATGGAGTGAAAGCAAATAGGGGGTGGCACCTGAGAGTGCTGTCTTGACCAAGTTGATGACAAATAGCTTGGTGATTCCGAGAAGTAGGGTTAATAGGTGGGACAAGGCTGCTGTTGTATTCCTTGATAAGGAAGTTGGCAAAATGGCATTGTAGGGAGTTCTATGTATGAAGAAATAGGAATAATCATCAAAATTTCACACTCTCTTTTCGATTTAATTTTAGAATTGGGACCTATTAAGTGGCAGGCACTGTCCTAGGTCCTGGATAGACCAGTGACCAGTGACTCATACAAAGCCTTTCATACTTTAGCTTCATGAATCTCTCATGTTCCATCTTATTCATATTCAATTTTCCATATGTACCCTGTACTCAAACAGCTTAGAATCCCCCCGGATTCCCTTATGTCTCTGAGTCTTTACACATGCTTATCTCATTTCTTGAATCACCTTTTTCCCCTTTCCATATTTATAATTCCTATTTGTCCTTCAGGACTCAGATTTAAGACCCACTTCTTTCTGTATGCCCCAGACTCACTTAGTAACACCTCCTCTTTTCCAGTAGTACTGTGTTTATAATACTGCTGCATCACCCAGGAGTGGGGAACCTGCAGCCTCAAGGCCACGTGTGGCCCTCCAGATCCCCAAGCATGGGCCCTTGACCGAATCCAAATTTCACAAAACAAATCCCTTTATTAAAAGGATTTGTTCTGTAAAATTTGGATTCAATCAAAAGGTTACACTCAAGGATCCTTGATGCCTTGTGTGCTGTTTAACATATATATATATATCTCCCCACTCTACACAGGCACTGCTTTTGCTTAAAAGACTATGACCATACTTCTCTTTCTCTTAGCTTCATACTTCCTCATTACCTCTATAAGTGCTTTTCTTTTCTTCTTTCTCTTTTCGTTCCTTGTCCTTTTTTTTTGGAGATAAGGTGTTGGCTGTGTTGCCCCAGGCTGGTCTCACACTCCTGGGCCCAAGCTGTCCTCCCACCTCAGCCTCCTGAGTAGCTGGAGCTATAGGCACACACCACCATGCCCAGCTCATGAGTACTTTTCTGAGCCACTTAATATAAATATCAATTATGGTTCTAACTTCATGATTTTTTGGTCTTGTTTTTCTGTACAAAATTTTTCATTTGTTGTAGCCTGCACAAAGAGAGACTTTTCTGCACAGAAACAAATTTTAACAAATGCAGGAAGCATTCAGTGGGTGATGAGAAGCACTAGAGCTATTTCTTTATCACAAGGCTTTTGTAAAGTGAAGTGGTGAGGATTATGGTATAGGTTTGAAATTTAAGGTTTTATTTCATCTTTGTTATCATGAAAATGGGTATAAATTTAGCTTACTAGACCAAGAAAAACCATAATGATACTATTTGTTCAATGAATGAGATGCTAGGGTTATCGAGAAAAGTTAAATCCTGTTGCCAGGCAGCTGGGCCATGAACTAAGGAATGTTATGGAGAAACTAAAATAAGAAGAGGTGGGCTTAGGAGGATATAAACACAAGTGATTGAAGGTATAGTAGTAAGAAGGATGTCCCTTAGGATCTGTTTTATTCAGTAGCAGCAGGATTGCTACTGAGGAACTTTTTTCTATTAAAGACTAATATATGGAGAAACATTGTTGGGATAATAAGCATAGAGACAAAATTTCAATTTTAAAAACTTTAGAAAAGAACATTTGGAAAGTATGGAATAGTATTGAATATATTGTAATGGAAAGAGGTTTTAATTTGAAAGCCTGGATTTTCCTGTGGGCAGCTTTGCAGATAATTTTAAAAGGATCCTTTTGCCCTGCATGAATGGAATACCAGTTAGTAGTAAACATATGGAATTTTTAGAGGCAAGTTGGAAAAGTTCTTAATAACCTTGTAACAAATCTTGTTAGAGAGGTTAAAAACAATTTGTCTTCTAAAATGAAACCAAGGTGATCTCGTTATGGGATCTTCCCTAAATGGAGTCTTCCCTCAACCTCATATACAGTCATAGAAAGAATGGGGGGG